TTGTTAAGCAATTCCTTCTTTGTTGAGTTTATCGTTTACCTTTCTCCTTCAATGTTCTCTGTTTGGGAAAATCGTCCCTTTTTACATCTCTGTTCATAGTTAGTCATTCTCTGGCTTTAAAGGTTGTGAATGATGGAGATATGTATATGTGGAGAGAGCTCGGCATCAACTCGTGGCCTACATTTGCCCTTGTCTCACCAAATGGTAAACTCATTGCACAAATCGCCGGAGAAGGTCACCGCAAAGTAACATCTTTTATCTCTTTCCTAAATGTAAATACAAACCAAGAATCACAGGTCAACACCAAAATACTCATTATCTGTTCATTGGTGCTTTGCTTTTAAGGATCTTGATGACTTGGTGGCAGCAGCTCTAATGTACTATGGTGGGAAGAATGTCTTAGACAATACTCCACTTCCTACACGTTTGGAGAAAGACAACGATCCGCGCTTAGTCGCATCTCCATTGAAATTCCCAGGGAAGCTGGCGATTGATACTCTAAACAACCGGCTATTTATCTCAGACAGTAACCATAACCGTATTGTATGTCCTTGAATCTTCATAGAACATTTTTCTTGTATCTCTTTTGTTGTATAGTTATCAACATTCTATGGTGATCTGATTTCAGATTGTAACTGATCTTGATGGAAATTTCATCGTCCAAATCGGCAGTACCGGAGAAGAAGGTCTCCGTGATGGTTCTTTTGAAGATGCTGCATTTAACCGTCCTCAGGTATATATGATCTTAGTTACTTCTTGAATAGTTTCCAAACCAAAGTTTTGTTGTTATCTAATACATGAATGTGATTTTTGTTCAGGGACTTGCTTATAATTCAAAGAAGAATCTTCTCTATGTTGCCGACACCGAGAATCATGCTTTGAGGTATGTATATATGTATGTTAGTATGTCCGTTATGTGGGGTTCTAATGCAAACAAGAATCTCAGATTATGCTAATAATCTTCTTTACTTTACTCATTAAGTTGACAATGATTTTTCTTCTTAGGGAGATTGATTTTGTCAACGAGACTGTGCGGACTCTGGCTGGAAACGGAACTAAAGGCTCAGACTACCAAGGAGGAAGAAAAGGAACCTCACAGGCAAGAAACTTGATTAGATGTTTTTTTCTTTTTTTCTTTTGAGAGGTTAAAGAAATAAGAGCAGAGTTTTGGTTCTTTTGAATGTTTCAGCTTTTGAATTCTCCTTGGGATGTATGCTATGAGCCGGTGAACGAGAAGGTCTACGTTGCAATGGCGGGTCAGCACCAGATTTGGGAATACAATGTTCTTGATGGTGTTACTAAAGTCTTTAGTGGAAACGGCTATGAAAGAAACCTCAATGGCTCTACGTATGTATACGCTAAACTGTTAAATTCCTTAGCCTATGTTTGCTTTTCTTTATGCTATGTTTTGTTGTTGATGCAGTCCTCAGACGACATCATTTGCTCAGCCTTCAGGAATCTCATTAGGCCCTGGTAATTAGAACAAACTTCAAAACTTGTCTCTATCCATTGTTACAAAGCTGTTGAAAATGAGTTCTGTTCTGTAATGTGAGGTTTAGATTTGAAGAAAGCATATGTTGCGGACAGCGAGAGCAGTTCTATTCGTCTTCTTGATCTTCAAACCGGAGGATCAAGATTGCTCGCTGGTGGTGATCCGTATATCTCTGAGAATCTATTCAAGGTATTGTTAATGAAATTGACAGTTTTAAAATGTTACTTCAGTCTCTAACATGTACTTGAGACTTGTCACAGTTTGGAGACAATGACGGCGTGGGAGCAGAAGTTCTCCTGCAACATCCGTTGGGTGTATTATGCGCAAAGGACGGTCAAATATATTTTGCTGATAGCTATAACCACAAGGTAAATTCTACAAAAACATATGTCCATATGAATATGAGCCAAAGAAGGTTCTTGACTCTGTTTTAAGAACAGGGAGATTCTTGATTGTTACAAGATCTTAACTCTAAACTTTCCCGAGTAGATTAAGAAGCTGGACCCTGTGACCAAACGTGTTGTTACTGTCGCTGGAACGGGAAAAGCCGGTTTCAAGGACGGGAAGGTCATGGTTGCTCAGCTTTCAGAGCCTGCAGGACTTGCTCTAACCGAAAACGGTAACTTTTGGTTTGTTCCCTTGAAACAGTTACTAATGAAGGAAACAATCGAGTGATGAAAAATGTTGTCTTCAGAGAGGCTTTTCGTGGCGGATACAAACAATAGTCTCATACGATACATAGATTTGAACAAGAAACAAGACGCAGAGATTCGTACACTGGAGTTAAAAGGCGTGCAACCGCCAATGCCAAAGGCGAAATCTTTGAAACGTTTGAGGAAACGTGCCTCGGCTGATACAAAGATTGTCACTGTGGACGCTGTTACATCTAAAGAAGGAGATTTGAATCTGAAGATATCATTACCAGATGGTTACCATTTCTCCAAGGTTCAATAATTATCTCTTCTTCTTCCTCTTATCTTTACTTATATAGATTGTTTCAGTCTCTTCTTGATCCTTTTAAAGACATTTCTTGTTGTAAACAGGAAGCTCGGAGTAAGTTTGTGGTTGATGTTGAGCCTGATAACGCAGTAACAGTCGAGCCAACAGAAGGAAATCTCGGGACTGATGGTTCAACGTTGCTTCATTTTAAACAATCTTCAACTTCGGCTTCTGTTGGCAAAATCAGTTGCAAGGTGTACTATTGCAAAGAAGACGAGGTTTGCTTGTACCAGTCTGTACAGTTTGAGGTACCATTCAAGGTGGAATCAGAAGAATCAGCTGCTTCTCCGGTTATCGCATTTACTGTTAAACCGAGATCAGCCGATGCTGGTTTGTTACAGCTTCAAGCTACTCGCTGAACCAGATGATCAGGTGATATGGTTAAAGAGCAGAGGTGTATAGATTATATGTGTTTGGATTTGTGATTATATAAGCCAGAAACTGTAATTGTTCTCAGTATATTCAAAGGAAAAGAAAAATTTAATTAATATTCTGAAAAAACTTGTTTATTTCACTCAAAGCCATGCATAGGAGGCTTGACATCTAAACAACAAAAGAAGATATTACAACAAAACACAAAATACACACAAATATAATATATTAATAATAAGAACACAAATTTCATTACATTATCAAATTTTATAACTATTAAATTGACATACAATTATTTATTTTAATCAAATTTGAACTTGGTTATTACAAGTATTACACATCTTAAAAGAATTTATCTATCTATCTATCTATTCTAATATTATAGGGTTACATTCTTTCTCACTCTCTGAGACGCTGCCATGTGTCACTATAAGTCTTTTTTTTTCAATTCAACATCAATAACTTTTCAAGTTAAGTTTTTTTATCAAGCAAGTATTTACTTAATATAAATTAAACAATCAAATAATATTTAATTCAAACAAACATATGTAGATGCAATATATATAAATCTATTTTCTTAAAAAATTATGTAAAAAAATGATTTCAATCAAGTTCCAAATTAGCACAATAACCGGCATTGGCTTTTCCCGGTTTATATTGAGATGATATTCTCTTGTATATATTATGGAAAATTAATGCCAATAGTCTGATATAAATAGGACTAAGTTATCAGACTAAGTTAGCACAATATAACTTGAGATTTATCAAACAAACCAATTTTTCGAAACAGTGAATAGCTCTGTAACATCCGTAAACCAAAAAGGTGCAGTTTTGGTCGAGTGTCGACCGACACCACAGGTTTGTGTCCGTCGACACCAGATCTGGTTTTATTTCGGTTCAATTTGAGTTGGTTTAGACCGGTTAAGGGCTTGGAAACCCTTGTTCACGAAATAAAATCGCGCAGCCGCTATCCTCTTCCTTAGTTTTGTCGTTTAGTGGGCGATTGTGAGAGGAGAAGAGTTTTCTGAGGTGATTCCAGTGTTTGGTGTTAAATCCGAGTCTGTTCATCAGCGATTCAGAGTTCTGGGTGTGTGTGGTGGTGCTGCGTGGTGTTCTTCGTCGTTCCTTGCTTCAGTTCATCTTCTCCAATTTGTTTTCCCCTCTTTTCAACCTAGAACCGAGGTGAGTGCATGACTGTGGGTCCGTGATTGCTAGATTCAGATATGTATATGTTCTGTGGTGATTTTGTGATGATATTGATGTTTGTTTCAGTATTTATGGTTGTTTGATTGATTTCTGTGAATTGCGAATTTCGGTATTGTTCATAGCCCGATCTGGTTTTTCCAGAATCGGTGTCGGTAAGAATTGTGTTCGTGGTCTGGTTAATCTGGTTAAAATTGATTTAATTGGTTTAATTGAAATTGAATGGTTTAATCAATTGGAATGGTTTATCCGAATTGGATTGGTTTAATTGGATTTAATTAATTAATTGGTATTTAATTGATTAAATGATTTAAAATAATTATATTAATTATTTTAAAATATGGAAAATTATTATTTAATTATGAGAAAATTATTTAATAATTGAGAAATGAGTTTTAATTATTAAAATTATTTAATAATTGGAAAATGGTATTTAATAATTATTGGAGTTTATAAATATTATTAAATATCTAGTAAATTGCGTAAATGGCTCGTAGGCAGAGTGATTGCCTCACTAAGTATTTATTAAATACTTACGCAACTCCATTCCAATGTGTTGCAGGTAAAAGATTTGTGTGATCGCGGAATCAAGGCTGAAGAGGGGGATGATAGGATGTTTACTGTTTTATTGTTTTGCATTATTTTGCTAGACTTGTTTAATTATTATTTGCTTCCGCTGAGCTGATTTATTTGTTATTGATATTTTATTTATTTAATTTATTTTTAAGACCTTCGCTAGAATTGATTAATATTTATAAAAAAAAAAAAATGTTGGTTGTTTCATTTTGGTATCAGAGCCTAGACGGTTTTAGGACAGCTAGAATTGCTAGGCTTAGTATCATCCCCTTCAGCTAAAGGAGATTCCGCGGTGAGTTTTGGTGTTTGTGTTTTTGTGTTATTGTCTAGTTGCTCATGTTCGGGTCCATGCAGTGAGATGGACGGAGCTCCTAGAGGTCGTGGCGCGAGAGGGCGCGGTGCTAGAGGTCGTGGCGGCAGAGTTGGCCGTGGCGGCAGAGCTGGTGGTAGAGCTGGAGGCCGAGCAGGCCGAGGTCGTGGTCGTGGACTTCCGGAGGAGTCGGGAGAGAGTGCGGCACCGAGTGTGCATACTGCGTCGGTGACCCAGTCAGTTCCGTTGGCGGGTGATGCCAGTGCGAGTGTTGGTTTGGGAGCGGGGGCTGCTCCGGGTGGGGGTGGCGCTCCGGCTCCGGGTCGTGATGACTTAGTGGTGGGGTTGCTGACGCAGCTGTTGGCTCGTTTTCCGCCGGTGGTTCCACAGGGGGCTCCAGGAGTACCGCCAGTGGCAGAGGTGCAGCATGTTGCTGCAGGCGTTGCGCAGCCGGAGGCTGTGGATGCGGGTGTGACCAGTTATTTGGAGTTTATGGGCCACATGCAGAAGATTGGTACGCCTTTCTTCGAGGGCAGTTGGTCCAGAGGAGGCAGACGCGTGGCGTCAGAGAGTGGAGCGGAACTTTCATTCGATCCGTTGTCCGATAGAGTACTGGGTGGAGTTAGCGGTCCACTATTTGAGTGGCGATGCTCATTTGTGGTGGCAGGCCGCGGTGGGCCGGAGGGCATTTTGGACTTGGGGCGACTTCCTTGTGGAGTTCAACGCCAAGTATTTCCCGAGGCAGGCTCGTGATCGTCTTCAGATGCGGTTTATGGGCATTGAGCAGGGTTCGCGTTCTGTACGCGAGTATGATGAGGAGTTCAGCCGTCTGTTAGTGCATGCGGGCTTTGGTATGGAGGCTGAGCATCAGTTGACGAACAGATTTCTGGAGGGACTTCGCAAGGATATTCGGACTCTATGCAGGAGTAGTATGCACACTTCGAGGGCGAGTCTGGTAGAGTTGGCCGCGTCGGTGAGGCGGATCTTGGTGGGCCAGTTGGTCCGGTGGCTGTGCCGTCAGCAGTTGCTTCTGCTACCCAGCCTCGGGGTCAGCATCAGCAGCCGCGACAGCAGCAGCAGCAGCGCAGAGGTGGTTCGAGTTTCAGTTCTGGTTCTGGCAGGGGCGGTTTGCCTGCGCAGGGTCAGAAGAGGAGTAGAGAGGAGTTTTCTGGTGCTAGTCAGTTTCCTCGTGGTTCGTGTTTTGGGTGTGGGAGCACGGAGCATCGTGTTTCGAGTTGTCCCAGAGAGGGAGTCAGCACCGAGGGTGTTACTACTGCAAGGAGCCTGGGCATATCAAGCCCATGTGTCCTAAGTTGCGGAGTATGTCGGTGGCTTCGGTTCAGCCAGTAGCGGCTCAGCCAGTGAGTCAGATCGCAGCAGTGCAGCCGTTGGGTCAGATTGCACCGGCGCCGCGGGGTTACTCTTCAGTGGAGACTGGCGGGACTAGTCAGACCGGACAGATCACAGGTAAATCTTCGACTCAGACTTTGTAAATTCTTAGTATAGAATTGTTGTTGTGTATTGTCTGTTAGTCATTTTTATCTGTGATAGTCTTGTGGAGGTTCTCAACGCAATTGAATGTGTAGGGACCTTGTTAGTGGGCGGTTTTGAGTCCCACGTTTTATTCGACTCTGGAGCATCGAATTGCTTCATTACACCGGAGCGTGCCGAGAAGAGTGGCATCCGGAGTAGCGCGGGCGAGAGCGCGGGCATGGTCAAGGTGGCGGGAGGTGGATTCTTGTCTACTTTGGGCCGTGCTAGAGGAGTCGAGATCGAGATTGCGGGGCAGTCAATGCCAGCAGACTTAGTCATCAGTCCGGTGGAGCTGTATGACGTTATTCTCGGGATGGACTGGTTGTCACACTACAGAGTTCATCTGGATTGCTACAGAGGTAGAGTGGTCTTCGAGCGAGATGCAGGGAGGTTGGTTTATCAGGGAGTGAGACCGACTTCCGGGAGTATTGTGATATCTGCTATTCAGGCCGAGCAGTTGTTAGAGCGGGGCTGTGAGGCGTATCTGGCGACGATTTCTATGTCTGAGTCAGGAGCTGGAGTTGTTATGGGAGATATTGAGGTTGTCCAGGATTTTGAGGATGTCTTTCAGTCACTGAAGGGATTACCACCATCTCGGTCTGATCCTTTCACGATTGAGTTAGAGCCGGGGACAGCACCGATATCGAAGACGCCTTACAGGATGGCGCCAGCTGAGTTGGCAGAGCTGAAGAAGCAGATAGAGGACCTTTTGTCTAAGGGGTTCATTCGACCGAGTGTTTCACCGTGGGGAGCACCGGTGTTGTTTGTGAAGAAGAAGGATGGCAGTTTCAGACTTTGTATCGATTACAGAGGTCTTAACCGAGTCACTGTGAAGAACAGGTACCCACTCCCGAGGATTGATGAGTTGTTGGATCAGTTGAGGGGTGCTACTTGGTTCTCCAAGATTGACTTGGCATCGGGGTATCATCAGATCCCGATAGATGAGGCAGATGTCAGGAAGACTGCTTTCAGGACGCGTTATGGGCATTTTGAGTTTGTGGTTATGCCTTTCGGTTTGACTAACGCGCCGGCAGCCTTCATGAGATTGATGAACGACGTGTTCAGGGAGTATTTGGACGTGTTCGTCATCATTTTCATTGATGATATTCTGGTATACTCGAGGAGTCAGGAGGAGCATGCGACTCACTTGAGGTTGGTTCTGGAGAAGCTTCGGGAGCAGAAGCTTTTTGCTAAGTTGAGCAAGTGCAGTTTCTGGCAGCGAGAGATGGGATTTCTTGGCCACATTGTTTCTGCAGAGGGAGTTTCTGTGGATCCGGCTAAGATTGAGGCTATCAGAGATTGGCCTAGACCTAGTAGTGCCACCGAGATCAGGAGTTTTCTGGGTTTGGCAGGATACTACAGGAGGTTCGTCAAGGGGTTTGCTACCATGGCGCAGCCGATGACGAAGTTGACCGGGAAGGATGTCCCGTTTGTTTGGTCAGCTGAGTGTGAGGAGAGCTTTAGTCAGCTCAAGGAGATGTTGACTACTACACCAGTGTTGGCGTTACCCGAGCCAGGGAAGCCTTACATGGTGTATACAGATGCTTCAGGCATTGGTCTTGGTTGTGTGCTGATGCAGGAGGGCAGAGTGATAGCATATGCTTCGAGACAGTGGCAGGGCAGTGAGCGTAACCGTCCTACACATGACTTAGAGTTGGGAGCAGTGATCTTCGCGTTGAAGATTTGGAGGTCTTACTTGCTAGGTGAGACAGTACAGGTCTTCACGGATCACAAGAGTTTGCAGCATATCTTCACTCAGCCGATGATGAACGCGAGACAGACGCGCTGGGTTGAGTTCTTGGCGGACTATCAGGTGAGCATTAACTACCATCCGGGCAAGGCTAACCTAGTGGCGGACGCGTTGAGTAGACGGAGGTATGATTCCGCAGTTGAGCGAGATGTGGAGTCTCTAGTTGGCGAGATCAGTACCTTGCGTTTGTGTGCCATTTCGCAGGAGCCTTTGGGTTTAGAGGCAGTGGATCAGGCGGATCTACTTAGCAGGATCAGAGTTGCTCAGCAGAGTGATCAGAGTTTGCTAGATGCGACGAGAGTGACTGGTTCTGAGTATGAGGTCTCTGCGAATGGGACTATCTTGGTTCGTGGGCGAGTTTGTGTGCCTAAGGATGTGGAGTTGAGACATCAGATTTTGGGAGAGGCTCACGCGAGCAAGTTTTCCATTCATCCGGGAGCGACCAAGATGTACCATGACCTCAAGAGGTACTATCATTGGGTCGGGATGAAGAGGGATGTAGCAGACTGGGTTGCGAAGTGCAACACTTGTGCCTTGGTGAAGGCAGAGCATCAGGTTCCGGGTGGTCTTTTGCAGAGTTTACCCATTCCAGAGTGGAAGTGGGACAGGATTACGATGGATTTCGTGGTTGGACTACCTGTTTCGAGGACTTTCGATGCTATCTGGGTGATTGTGGATCGGTTGACTAAGTCCGCACATTTCTTGGCCATCAAGAAGACAGATGGAGCTGCTGTCTTGGCTAGGAAGTTTGTGCGAGAGATTGTGAGGCTGCATGGAGTGCCAGCTAGTATTGTGTCAGACCGTGATCCCAGATTCACTTCAGAGTTTTGGAGGGCGTTTCAGGCAGAGATGGGCACTAAGGTGCATCTGAGTACAGCTTATCATCCGCAGACAGATGGTCAGTCAGAGAGGACTATTCAGACTTTGGAGGATTTGCTGAGGATGTGTGTGTTGGATTGGGGTGGCCATTGGGCAGATCACCTGAGCTTAGTTGAGTTTGCATACAACAACAGCTTTCAGGCGAGTATTGGCATGGCTCCATTTGAGGCTTTGTATGGGAGGCCATGTAGGACACCCCTATGCTGGACCCAAGTGGGGGAGCGCAGCATGTATGGAGCTACTTATGTTCAGGAGACGACAGAGAAGGTTCGTGTTGTGAGGCTGAACATGAAGGAGGCTCAGGATAGGCAGAAGAGTTATGCAGATAGACGCAGACGAGAGCTTGAGTTTCAGGTTGGAGATAGAGTTTATCTCAAGATGGCTATGTTGAGGGGTCCTAACAGATCCATAGCAGAGAACAAGCTGAGTCCGCGATTTATGGGTCCGTTTCCAGTAGTGGAGCGAGTTGGGCCATTGGCTTACAGGCTGGAGTTGCCTGAGATTATGAAAGCCTTTCACAAGGTTTTTCATGTGTCGATGCTGAGGAAGTGTCTTCACCCTACAGAGGAGTTAGTGGCTAGGATTCCAGAGGATCTTCAGCCAGATTTGACAGTGCCGGCAGTGCCTGTGAGGATTTTAGAGAGGAGGGAAAAGGTTCTGAGGAACAAGAGGATTCCCTTACTGAGGATTTTGTGGGATTGCAGTGGTTCTACAGAGGAGACTTGGGAGCCAGAGGCAAAGATGAAGTTGAAGTTCAGGAAGTGGTTCGACAAGCAGGTCGAGGAGTGAGCTTATTTCATCTTTGTAGCCTCAGTTGTTATTTTTGGCTTTGGTGTTATTGTATTTTCGTTTTCGTTGTAACGATATACATTTTGGAGTTTTAATGAGATGCAGTTTTTCCTCATTTTGCCTTGTGTTGTGAAATGGTATTCGGATGTTACACATGTTTGACCAGTTTTTGGTTGTGAGACGGTCTAATCTTATGGTTATAGACATTTTCCGGAATTTTTACTCTAAGGATTGCGATCCTGAATAACTCATCATGTTTTTGGAGACTTCGTTCTCTGGCAGACTCTCTGGGTGCAAGTAGGCCTCAGTTGAGTGTAGCTTATCTGGGTGCAAGTAGGCCTCAGTATAAGCAGTTTGTTCATCTGGGTGCAAGTGGGCCTCAGTATGGACGGTTTCGGGTTCGTCTGGGTGCAAGTGGGCCTCAGTGCGGACCGGTGTGGACTTGTCTGGGTGCAAGTGGGCCTCAGTACAAGTGGTTTGTGTGTTTGGATGATGAGTTAGGAGTGAAAATTTCTTGGAACGTGTTTATGACATAAGATTGACGTTTGTCTCGGGGATCAGGTGAGGATCTCCAGTGTTGCGGCCTTGCGAGGTCGGGTTTTGTGGTCTTTGTGACGTTTGGTTGGGATTCGAGGACGAATCCAGTTTAGTGGGGGAGAGTTGTAACATCCGTAAACCAAAAATGAGTTTTGGTCGAGTGTCGACCGACACCACAGGTTTGTGTCGGTCGACACCATGGTTTGCAATTTCGGTTCAATTTGAGTTGGTTTAGCCGGTTAAGGGCTTGGAAACCCTTGTTCGAAATAAAATCGCGCAGCCGCCGTCCTCTTCCTTAGTTTTGTCGTTTAGTGGGCGATTGTGAGAGGAGAAGAGTTTTCTGAGGTGATTCCAGTGTTTGGTGTTAAATCCGAGTCTGTTCATCAGCGATTCAGAGTTCTCGGTGTGTGTGGTGGTGCTGTGTGGTGTTCTTCGTCGTTCCTTGCTTCAGTTCTTCTTCTCCAATTCGTTTTCCCCTCTTTTCAACCTAGAATCAAGGTGAGTGCATGACTGTGGGTCCGTGATTGCTAGATTCAGGATATGTATATGTTTCTGTGGTGATTTTGTGATGATATTGATGTTTGTTTCAGTATTTATGGTTGTTTGATTGATTTCCTGTGAATTACGAATTTCGGGTACTGTTCATAGTCCAATCTGGGTTTTTCCAGAATCGGTGTCGGTCGACACCAAGTTGGTGTCGGTCGACACCAAGTTGGTGTCGGTCGACACAAACCGGTTAACTCTGGTTAAAATTGATTTAATTGGTTTAATTGAAATTGAATGGTTTAAATCAATTGGAAGTGGTTTATCCGAATTGGATTGGT